CATAAGAAAGATACTTCTCTGCAAAGGTTTCCTTAGGTGCAATCCTGGCTGAAGTGAGCAGGGGGATAGCAGGGTACAGATTTATGGCTCCTAGTATGTTTTTTTAAAAAAATTAAATTATTTTATTTTTGATGTAGGGAATAAAATATTTCCATAACAGTATAATAAAAAAAAAAGATAATTACACATGAAACTACAAATCCATTATGTACAACTTACTATTCCTTTTAGATGTGTAATAAAGTTATCCTGTACATTTCTTTTTCTTCTTTTTCTTTTCTTCCCTAGTATGTTTTGATCTAGTCTATCATTAGTCTGTCTTACACTGCAGTCACTTTTACAATCAGTCATGATTTGTGTTTATCTGTCATGCATAAGCATTTTAATCATGGAATATACAAGGTTTACATTTATAAGTGATAGAAGAAGGATGCGTTTTCTGGGCTTGGCTATTTCTCATCAGTTCAGAAAGTAGTCATGGTCCTCTCCGAGGATGATAGGATTTAGAGCTAGACAGGACTTCGATGTCAACTATTCCAACTCCTTCATTTTACTCTGCATATCTCACCCAGAAAAAAGTTTACTTTTCTCCTGATGTTTGGATGGCCTGGTGAATTATTTACATCGATATTCAAACTTTGATATACCTCCAAATCTCACCGGTACTTCTTCTATAAGTAGAATGCCATTTACATGAGGTAGTGTGGTGTAATGTATACAGCATTGGATACATGCAGTCAGGAAGACCTGGTGTTGAATTCTGCTTTACGCACTTACTAGATGTTTGATTCCATGCAAGTAATTTAGCTCCCTAGTCATCTCACTAGCTGCCTTGAAGATGAGCCAGAAAGTCTGGGAGGACTTCATCCTTTTTTTCAAAACTCTCCTAAACCCCTGCCCCCCCCAAATCCATTAACTCTTGCCTTGAGTCCTCTGCCAAGGCCAGCCACCTTCCTGATTCACAAAAACCTCTTCTTCTCTTCACACCTTTCCAGATCTTGAATGATAATTGAACCTTGTTATTGTTCCTGGAAAGGGCATGTCAGTCTATCTTTTGTAGTCTTACCATCCCAGCAACTTTTCAAGTCAAAATATCCAATCCGATGACCACCATTCCCCTCTATGTGTCACCTCCCCTTTTAGAATGCTAGCTCCTAGCTCGTACTGGTACCCACCTTTCTGAAAAGTGGTTTGTTATTATGCAAATGAAATGGCCAAAGTGTCCATAACCTTTGACCCAGAGATTTCTCTGTTGGGCATATAGTACAAGAAAGACATTGATAAGAATGTCTCTAAATAGACTAAAATATTTATAGCAACAGTTTTTGTGGTAGCAAAGAACTGGAAATGAAGTAGAAGTCTGTAAACAAGTGAAAGGACTTAACAAATTGTGTTACATGGATGCAATGGAATATTGCTGATCTATCAGAAACAAGGAACATGATGAATACAGACAGGCAAGGAGAGAATTATATGAACCATTGCAAAGTAAAGTACGCAGAGTCAAGAGAACAATGCATATCGGCCACAACAATGTAGAGTGAAAGAACAACTATAAAACAATCGAAAGCGATGATTATAAAATGACAAGAACAAGCATGGCCTCAAAGAAGAGATAGAAATGACAACTTTTCTCCCTTCCCTGCCCCCTTGCGGGAGGGAGGACATGGGTATGGAAATTGCAAATGACGTCCTACTTTTATGATGTGTTGATTGGTTTTGTGTATTTTTTTCTTTTCTTCTTTTAGAAATTAGTTGTTATAAGAAATAGCTCTCTGGAAGAAGAGGGTGAGAGGTACAAGGGGAGATATGGGTGATAGAAAATATGTCAATAAAAATCTATTTTTAACAAAAGAATGTAAGTTCCTAGAGGGCAAGAACTGTTTTTGCTTTCATATTTTTCTCTCTAGTGATTAGCACAAAGCTTGGCACATGGTAAATGCTTAATAAATACTTTTCATTCATTCATTTATTCATTCATTTTATCTCTCTGCACCTCAGTTTTCTCATCTGTAAAATGAGATGATTTTAATTGGTGACCTTTGTCCAGCTCTAAATCTATAATCCTTTGGCCAGGTTTCTGGCACATTTTTTATTTTCTGATTTGTTTCTCCTGGATTGTAGACAGAAATTTTCTCTTTTCTTTCCTTCCTTCCTTCCTCCCTTCCTCCCTCCCTCCATCCCTTCCTCCCTTCCTTCCTTCTTTCCTTCCTTCCTTCCTTCCTTCCTTCCTTCCTTCCTTCCTTCCTTCCTTCCTTCCTTCCTTCCTTCCTTCCTTCTTTCCTTCTTTCCTTCCTTTCTTTTTCCTTCTTTCTTTTTCTTCTGTCCTCCCCCTTTCTATTTCTCTTTTTTGCCTTTCAAAAAGGTGCCTAAAATTTTAGTTCCTAAAAGTGTTTGTCCTCCTCTCTCCTTCCCTCCTCTTCTCTCCTTTCCTCTACCCTTCTCTCCATCTAGCTTGTGATGTCTAATGGGCAGTTGGAGATATGGACTGGAAGTTAGGATAAAGGTGAGGGCTAGTTAGGTTGATCTAAGAATCATCAGCATAGAACAATTGAGTCCCTGGGAGCAGATGAGATCATGAAGTGAGATAGCATAAAGAAAAGAGAAAGAGACCCAGAAGAGAGCCTTAGGGGACACCCATGGTTAGTGGATGTGATCTGAAGGAAGAACCAGCAAAAGAGAATGAGAATTGGTCAGAAAGGTAGGGGAAAAAACCAGGACAGAGCATTTGCACAAAAATCCAGAGAGCATAGAGTATCCAAAAAAGAGAATTAGCTTGAATCAAAGGCTACAAAGGGGTCCAAAAGACTGTGGATTAGAAAAGGCTACTGTGTTTGTCAATTAAGAGATCATTAGTAACTTTGGAAAGAGCAGTTTCAGTTGAATGATGAGGCTAGAAGCCAGGCTACAGAGAGTTTGAAAGACAGTAAGAATAGAGTAAGTAAAGGTACCATTTGTAAATGATTTACTCAGAGCCAGCAAGGATGTAGGGATCACAGAAAGGGGGAGATATGAGTATGTTTGTAGACAGCAGGGAAGTAGCCAATAAGTAAAGACTAAAGAGTAGAGAGAATGGGAATAATAAAAAGGGCAATTTGCTGGAGAAGATGTGATGGAATGGGAGCAAGGGTTCATGTAGAGGAGTTTGCCTTGGCAAGAAGGGTCACCTCTTCACATGAGAAAGGGTGTAAAGAAGGAGACTCTGGGGAAAGGCATTTGAGTGATGTGAGGTGCAAAAGGAAGATTAGCGGTGGAAATCAATGAGCTAATTTTATGTTAAGTACTTTATAAGATGTCAGCTATTATTAGTAGACTATACATTATATTTACTATTTTATTGGTTATTGTAATTATTTCTATCTTTAACCATATTCTCAGCATCATTTATATACTACTTCCAAGTTTGAAAAGCACTTTACCCGCACATCTCACCTGAGCCTCACAACAGCACAATAACAGCACCCTGCAAGGTGGGTGCTATTATCATTTTCATGTTATAGATGAGGAAACAGATGAGGTTGATAGAGGTTAAGTGACTTGTAAGGGTCACATAGCTAACATCTGAGTCTGGATCTTTCCTGATTCCTTTTCTATCCCTCTATCCACTAAACCACTCTGCCTAATCATACCTCTTTTCTGGATGCCAAATATTTTCTGGCTTTCATCTATATATGGATACAATTAAGAATTTAGCAGCCACCTGGATAGGCAGGGGCAGCTCTTTACCTGTTGCCCATGTTGAGGAAGGAAAGGTTAGGGAGGAAGAAATGAAGGAATTCTGGAAGGTTCTGTTCTATGGTCCCTCATGGTAAGTTGCTGGGCAATGGCCCTAGGAACTCTTTTCAGAGAATTTGACTGATCATTATACTCTTTGGCTTCCTGTGTGGTGGCGGTTGAAAACACAGGCATTTCTCTCTCTCTCTCCTCTCTCTCTCTCTTTCTCTCTCTCTCTCTCTCACTTTATATAGTCTTTGTATCCCCATAGTACAATGTAAGTTTCTTGAGAGCAGGATCTGTTTCATTGCTAGAATTGCATGTCCCTGGAGAGTCTGGTGCAGTGCCCATCACATAAGTACTTATTGATTGAATACTTATTATACATATGCTTTATCCTTTCTCACAGAATGCAGACTCCTTGAGGGCAAATGCTCTTTCTTTCTTTTGCCTCTGTATCCCTAGCTCCCTAAGCATCTTCTCTGGAACATAGTAGGAACTTCAAATTTTTTATTTAATTGAATTGATTGTGTAGTTAATTAATAGGTCATCCAGAGCCTTCTGTTTTCCCTTCTCCAAATGCTTCTTTAGCATCTGCATATAATCAACCAGCAAGCATTTATTAGGGACCTACTATGCACTAGGTACTGGGAATGCAAAAAACAATATGAAATAGTCCCTACCTTCAAGGAGCTTATATTCTATGCAGGGAAACTGTGTATGTGTGTGTGTGCGTGTATAGATAGATAGTTATAGATATAGATATTCACTCACACACATACCCACATGTACACATACACACTTAGGGCAGAAATAGAGATAAAATTTCTCAGAGCCCTTTTTGTTTGTCTGTTTGTCAGCTCCCTCAGAGAATGAATGAAATAGGTATTTTAATTTATTTTATTTTATTTTAGGCTAATAAGATGTGAGGAATCTCTGTGGATTTCCTTTATCTATATAAACACCACTCCCCAAATATCCAATAGGGATAAGGTCTATGATTCCGTTGGAATGAACTCTTGGATGAGAAAACTCCCCTACCAATGCAGGTCAGCATATTCCATGCAACTTACAGTCTAAGAGAATTGCCTTTAGCCCTGAGAGATTAAGTGATTTTTGTCTGGGGTCACAAGTGATATTGTCAAAAGTGACATTTGAATACAGGTCTTCCTGCCTCAACATTCTGAATGATTGGGAGCTGACTGTCAGGGAAAGGTTTACCGGTCTCCAGCGACCATTGGTGTCTTGTGCTGATCTCTGCTTTTTTGCACTGCTTCCTTGCCCAGCCAAAACTGTCATCTCGGAAGATTACCTGGCGGACCCTGTGGGTATGAAGCGCTACAGTATGGACCCCTCCAATTCAGCCTTCAATTGCACAGGCTCTTCCTCTTCCTCCTCCTTGTACTCTGGGAGGCTGAGCTCTGGAGAAGGATGCCTTGGGAGAGGCCTCACTACTTCCTCCTGCAGTCATCGTTCTGGCCCCGTGTCCTCCAGTGGCCCCTCAACTGTTGGTCTAAGGCACCAGGCATCCAGCTTCCTGAGGAATGGCACTTATTCAGAAGGAAACAAAAGTGGTAATGTAATGCAACCCCATGGATCTCACCCTTGCACAACAGTCTGAGTTCAGGGCTGAGGGGTTGTGCTCACAGGACTCATGAGAAAGTGGCAGTTTCTTCTAGAAGCCAATACAATTGACAATTTCCCTGCTAAGTACAACATAGGAGAGGGAGATCTCACCTGGTGTTAGAAGGCCTTGGCCCTATTCCTTTACTGCCTCCCACATCCCTGCCTGTATCCTTTAAGGCAAAATCTCACATTGCTCTTATCCTTGGCTCCCAGGCCCCCAGATCTCTGTAGATTGCATACTTATATAGGCAGGCAGGATCAAAAATGCTCTTGTGTATGTTTACTTTGCTCTACCCAGCACACATGGGCCATCTCCAAAAGCCTCCCCCAGGCTCCAATCTGCTTCATCACCCAGCCAGCTCCTTGTGGTAGTGAGGGTAGAGAATCAAGGAGTGATGGGAGCCAGTTTTTCAAGGGGGTGGCAGATCTGGGCTGCTGAAGGAACCAGGACCCTTCTGTCAATTTGGCGGTTCATACCATTAGACTATAAACCCTGCCCCAAGCCCCTCCCTCGGCATGACTCTCCAGGCTAGAATGAAGGGATGAGCACTCTGGCTTGGATATTATTTTCCAAAGAAAGGAGTCTCTTCCCATTTTATATTTGGAAAGATGGTAGTACTTATGGAAAAAAAATTAACTTTGATGTCTTCCCATCTCCTTTTCTATAATAATAATAATAAATAATAGCTAGCATTTTATAGAGCTTTAAGGCTTGCAAAGTTCTTTACAAGTATTACCTTATTTTATCCTCACAACAATCTTAGGTGGTAAGTGTTATCTCCCTTCCAAACTCCTGGGTCCTCCTCTCCTTCCTGGTAAGAGATCATTCTTCTCATGTTGCCTTCTGGTTGCCCATAACATCAGTTCTGAGGTTGTGATTGTGGTGTCCCCAGGCCTGTTCTCTTCACAAGTGTCTTTTCCTATCAAATTTGTCCTTACTCTTATTCTCCCAGCTTCTGTTAAGAGGAAAATAATTCTATTATAATAATTAAATGAACTCATCCTCTTTCTTTAATTCTACAAGGCACAGCTCTGGAGTTGGCTGCCTAAAGTGTCAATGATAGACAGACCCTGTGGGATTCTGGGAGCTTTAAGATTTTGTTGTGATACATATTACTTGACTGGTCACAACATAAACACCCACTTGCCAGGGAGATTGGCATCTTCTGACATGGACAATATGGGTATTTATAAGTCATGTTATTATAATATGTTCTTCTTTAGACCTCCTTGTATTTTATTCCCTAGGAGGCAGCCTTCTTGACCTATTCTTAGATCAGACATTATTATTCAAAAACAGAACCAGAGCCAATATGAAGTTTGTACTAGGGCCATATTAAAGGCTTGGCCAAGCTGGGAGTCCAGTAAGAAGGCATGACCATAGCCATATGGTTATAAGATAAGTGACTAGAAAGAACAGGAGAGATAAAGAAATTAGATCTGATTTTGTGGGAATTTTAAAAGAAATTTACAAGGATTTAATCTGAATTAACAATTGAATTTAAAAAAAAAAACTTTTCCTATACAAAGTCTCCCAACCCAGAAGGCAGGGACTAGATTACTGAGAGTTTGAGCCTAAATTAGGGATGACAGAGAAGCAATGGAAGAGGACTAAGCAGGAATGGGCTTGGCACTAGCAATGGTTTAGTTTGCAACACTCTGGTAGGGATGGGGGATGGGACAGGTATGGATTTTGAGTATGCATTGGAAACTAAAGTCTGCCTTTAAAAAAAACTTCAATATATCTGCATAAGATCAATAGAGAAAAGAATATTAATAGTTATCTTGTCTCATTCCTTCATTTTTTTTAGAACAAGAAACCTGCAGAGGCTAGGTCACTTGCCCAAGGTCAGCTAGATAGACTTGGGATTTGAACTCCAGACTTTTGATTCCAAATATATAGTTTTAGGTGGGAGAGAGCATCAACAAATAGGGGGATGAGGAAAGACTTCCTGCAGAGGAGGCACACGAGCTACTCCTTGAAGGAAGAGAAGGATTCTGAGAGGTGGAGGTGGGCAGAGAGTGCATTTTGGACGGGAGAGACATTCCATGGACATGGATAGTTTGAGTACATGAAGACAGGAAAGCCTGGAAAGGTAGTCTGGAGTCAAACTATGATGGGCTTTCATTGTCAAGAAGCATTGTGTTTTATCTTAGATATTATAGAGAGCCATTGAGGATCCTTGAGCAGGAGAGTGGTACGGTCAGATTTATGGTTTAAGAAAATTATTTTGGCAGCCATTTGTAGGATAGAACAGAAAGGGGAGAGACTAAAAATTGAGAGTCCATTTAGGAGGCTGATGGCTCTTAGCATGGTGAATACCAACAACTCTAGCTAAATGAAGAGGGCTTATCATTTACATTCCATATGGCTTTTCTTTCAACTTGTCCATCCTACCCTTACATGAATCAATCTATCAATAAGCATTTATATTAAGTGCCTGTTATGAATCAAGTGGCGAGCTAGGTGAGATGAAGATAAAAATGAAACAATATCTGCCTCCAGTCAAACGTTTGACAATACTATATTTTTTTCTTACCAAGGTCTTATCAGTCACTAAACTGCTTGGCTCCTCTGAGTGGTACTGAAGTCACCCATATGAAGTCACTGCATGTTATTGTTCTAAAAATCACACCCTGAATAAAAGCACTGAGTTATCTCTAGGAATAGTAGTGACTTTGGTCCTAAACTTGGGGAAGGCTCCCAGACACATCTCCCTCCCTATGGTGTAAATTGAAAACATGTATCTTATGCAGTCCTGATAACTATACAGAAGGCCATGTGCAGATGGCAAGAATCCAGTGTCATGAAGAGCCACTCAGCTTTGTCCCTCTAGTGAATAACTTGGTCTGTCTTCCTGCTATCTTGATGCACGTGACTGGGCTTATCTGTCACACTTGTCAATGTAATGTGAAGAGTGTGTATACATGGCCCATGCTTCCCTGGTTTTTGCTTTGGTATTCAGGTGAAGAAATTCTCTGAGAGTGTTGCTGTCTCTCAGCCAAGAGAGAATTGCTGAGAAATAGGAGATTTCAAAGAACTAAAACTTTCTGACTTTTGCATTTATCAGTAGACTTCTAAGGATTCTTATCCATAATTAGATCCAAACTTCAGTGTTTAAAATACAGAAACAGGGTAAATCAGATCTTAGTGCAGTCTGAATTTTTATTGTGTACTGTCATTTTGCAGGGTTACAGTTTGGAGTTGTCTTGGGAGAGAATTATGAGTTTGAATGCTCAATACTTATAAAGCTGTCATATCCTGCATCACCAAATGGCAAAATTCTGTATCTTCAGTGGATCTTCTCATCACTCAAATGAATCATCATGGTTAGGTTTATCATGTTATAACAATAAGTGACATTTTTATAGGTTTTAAAGTTTGCAAGGGATGGGGGGTTATATATGTTATCCAATCCAATCCCTTCCCTTACTCTTCTCTCCTCTTCTCCTCTCTTCTCCTGTCTTCTTCTATCCTCTCCTCCTCTCCCTCCCCTTGCTCTCTCCTTCTTCCCCTTCCTTTCCCTCTTTCTTTCTCCTCTCATTCATTCAGGAAGTGAACAAGCATTTATTAAGACCTTCCTATGTATCAGAAACTGTGCTAGGCTTTGGGGATACAAAACCCAAAGTCTATACCCTCAAGAAGCTTACTTTCTGTTTCCTCTCTCTCCTTCTTTTCCTCCGTCTCTCTTAGTATACATACATACCTGCACATTCATACTCTTTGCTCATACTTCTCCTATAACCTATCCCATTCTGCCTTATTTGAGTACCTGTTTTGCCTTTTCTACTAGTTTGTAAGCTCCTTGAAGGCAGGGGGTGAAGTTTTGTCCAAGCTTTCTTTCCCCACTGCACCCAGGCCATCATCTTTTATAGTAAATAGTCAGTATATCTGTGTTGATGTAGTAAATAAATAGTCAATATGTCTGTGTTGAACTGAGTTGAATGGAACACCAGGTATGGCAATAAGATAAGGGAAATTATTCTATAAGCCCTACCTAAATATTAATATCATGACTTCATAGTTAGAATTCATATCCATATCCATATCCCCACTACAGGAGTGGCTGTGTGTAAGCATGCTTAAGTGAAGTTTTTCTCTGTACTTCAGGAGAATCTCATCTGCTAATTTAGTGACAGGCCAACTAACTCATGGACTTTGTCATATTATATGTTCATGTAAGTGCATGATAATAGAGATCTTTCCATACTGGTTTGTCTTATGAACATGTCCTGGGTCACTATTTTCTAACTTCAAGAAACATGAAGCATCTCTCTGGTGTTTCTACAACTTCAACACAAGACAAAAGAGACAACTAGGAAGAACAATCAGCAAATTCAAATGTTAAAGTTGGCTAAATAATCCTTTATTACTTGTTTATAGATGTAGCATTTGAAGACCTAGCTAAACCAGTCTCCTGTCTACAAAATTCAGCAGTGTAAAATTCAAATATACTTGTGGAAATTTAAGTGTATTTATATTTAAACACCATCTCTTCCTTATCTTAATAGAAGTAGGACATCTAACCTAAAATAAACAACCAAATAGCTTTGCCAAGTAAAGAGCATGAAGCCATGAATTTGCTAATTGTTTTTTCCTATGGTATTAATTTGTGTTCAGTGCAATTTGTATAATCAAGAGATGTGGCTAAGGAAATTTTACTTTTAGGAAATGTCTTTCCCTATGCAAACAAAACAAATACAAATCCCAAATGCCTTTTTGAAATTCTTAGCTTTTGTCCATAGATTTTGGGAGCCTTGATACTTCCCTCCTATCTAAAAATGTAACCCTTTTCTATGAATCATTCTAGCGATTTTCCTCCCCTATTCTCTCCCTCCCCTACCCATAGCAATACTTCACTTTAACCCATAATGTGATAGGACGATTATACAACTTCTACCAAAAAGAAAAAAAAAGAAGTAGGACATAATACTGCTGTAAATATAT